AGGAGGAGGAGGAGGAGGAGAAGAAGAAGAAGAAGAAGAAGAAGAAGAAGAAGAAGAAGAAGAAGAAGAAGAAGAAGAAGAAGAAGAAGAAACCCCGAGAAACAAAACAAAACAAAACAAAACTCCATAGGATATCTTATGTCTTCGATCTCCAGTACGAAGTGTACTGACATATCTGTTTGTTTGATTAGCAAAAAGAAGCACATCGACACAATAAAGGTCGTTCAGTACAGAGGAAAAGTAAGACAAACGGACAAATCAACACAGGGAAGGTAAAGGAGTAGGAGCTACCAGAGGCACCCTCAAATGACCCGAATGACATAGAGCTGTGTGCTGTTTTCCTCCTAGTAACACACGCCTACAGCTGTATGAATATAGCTGATAATACTGATATATGACCGGTGTCTGATTTATATACAAGCAACCAACACACCTGGCCCAAGTCCGGCAGTGACATCTCCCCTCCCTCGACGCTTAGTTGCAGTACGTAAGAACAAACAAAACACAACAAACAAATGAAAAGAAAAGAAAAGAAAACGAAAGAAAACAAACCCTGGTACAATGCACGTGTAAGTTTACAACGAAAAAAAGAATCAAACCAAAGAAAAATGCCCACCATTCTGATGCAATCTACACATATGAATCCATAATATTATGTACATGTACTTAGAAAAAAGAATCTTTACTACAATCGATTTATTAAAAAACTAAAACCCAGAGCCCCCATAGTAAAGCTTTATTCAATGGTTATGCGTGTCGCAGAACATTCAGGTGTGGTAACAGACGTGCACGTTTTATCTCCCAGCCCACTTGTATGTAGCATATTAATATGCGTGTAACTGTGGGTCTGTTTGTGAAGGTAAGCATATTTTATGTGTGTACGTGTATGGCGGAAGAGACGAAGCGCGAGAGAGTATGCGTGTGCATGTGTGAGAATGGATGATATGTGCTCACGTGTGTGTTGATTTTTAAATTTGAAAAAAAAATGAAGATGTTTTTACAGCCCGTCGACACAATTTATATAATTTAGGAGGCAGCGTCGGAACTTGCTCGTAAGGGCCAACCCAAGTTGAGAGGAATAAAACATCTAAGCAGAAAGACTGAAGTACTCTATAAAATGTCTCCCAGCTCGGAAATCGAACTCGGGTGTCCTGACCGCTACACTACCGACGCCAGTGTGTGTGTGTGTGTGTGTGTGTGTGTGTGTGTGTGTGTGTGTGTGTGTGTGTGTGTGTGTA